ATTTATAATCAAAACTGGATTTTGATATAAATATCGTTTATTTATTAAAATATTTTCAACCAATTTCTTCGTTGTTTTTAAACAAAACTTTAAATATCAACAAATTTAATATTAAATTAGATTTATTTTATTTCATAAATAAATGAATTTTTACGTTAATATTGAAAACCATACAATAAAATACAATACATAACAGTTATACAGTAAGTTATTTATGAAGTGAATCGAGTTGTGATTGAATAGTTTCGAGACTTTCGTATAGATTCCACAATTCTTGTCGATCGAAGTCAATGGAAACGACTTGATTTGACTGTTGACCGCCTTTAATAATTAAATCAATTTGTGCCAAAGGAATGGCATCTTTATTATCACAACTGTTTTGATTTGTCAACATTTTAAGTTTCCAATTGATGTCCGCCAAGCGATGGTTTGATATGTCAAACGACTTGTCTTTCAATTTCTCGATCAGATTTGGGGTATAATTGTTGCAAATCTCGCCAAAAACTACAGTTTTCTCCATTTCTAATCCAATTTCAGTCAATTCCTTGACAACAGTTCGCGGTTTCATTAAATTGTAAACAATTTGTTTGAGTATATAATGAACTGATTTTATAACAAGTTTCACATTTTGTGTGTCAGTTACAGATAATATAGATTTCAGTTTATTCTCTTCTTCGTCGGAGAATATTTCTGTATAGTTTTGATCAACTTTTTCAACAATTTTTAAAACAAATTTGGAAAATTTTGCCAAATCTATGCCATTAATCAATACAATCGCTTCACTTAACCTGTAAATCAAAATATTTTATAATTTATAACAAGAGTTATATAAAAACACTAAAATTATACAAATAAAAGTATAAGTCATTTATATAAATTTTTCAAGTTTTAAGATAATCTCAAGCACTTAGCCTTAGTCAACACTTCTCTTTTGTAACAAACCGCAGGTGATGTGACATCAGTGATGTCATAGGGTAATTATTATGATTACAATCAACGCCTCAATACATTGAAGTGAATAAATCTGCAAATCCTATGTTTAGTGAGAATCGAGAATAAAGTGTTGATAGAAAGGGTTGTTGTCGAGAGTGTAATGACTGGAGTGATAGGTTTGTACTCCAAACCCATTGAGTCTCACAGACCTCATAATTCAATGCCCTATACCTTAAACACCGCAATGCTATCAATCTTCGCATAGATTTTTATTTTTATTTCTTAAGCATTTCTTAAAGTATTCATTAAATCAACAGAAATTGAATTGAAATCAAAGTTTGCATATAATAAGCCGTGAATGTGATGGTGAATGTGATCGATGCGCTTAAGGGGCGCAAACACTTTCACTGTATTTTGACTTTTGCACTCATATTGCGTTCAAGACATTAAACCTAACCTCAGGTCAAACAACCGCTCAAAACAAGATTCGCAAAGAATACAAACTTTTCAAAAATACATTCTTTAATACAAATAATTGTCTGAAAACAGGATTTAATCAAAAGTAAAAAAGATTAATAATGTTTGCACTCAAAGGAGTTCTTAAAAGGATTATAACTTAATTCTATTCAAACATATAATTCATAGGTTTTT